TGTCGGTCTTTGTTTGTATTGCAAAATGATTTGGATGCCATAAATCTTGTTAATTGGGTTGATGATAATAGAATGGTTGGTTTATATGTTGAACACATGGAAGAGTACATGTCTAGTCTACCTTCTGATTGCTTGCCTTCTGTTGATGAACCATTGGATTTTGTAGGGGATGATGGGGAGAATTTAGATGAGTTAATTGATAATTGGACTCAGGAACAAAATGATGATGATAATTTGGGTGAAGATAATTTGGGTGATTCTGACAGTGAGTTTGAAATCCAATCTTTTGGATCAGACTCTGATTTTTCTGATGAGTTTGTTGAAAGTGATTGTGATTTGTATGATGAAGATGATAGGATGTTTGAGGGCAATATAGCTGCACATATTGAATGGGGAGGGATAAATAGAGAGGAACCTGATAGGGCTGAATTTGCAACTAGCAAGGGTAAGCAAAGAACTAGTAGTGCCCATCCAATTTTTGATCATCAGATCATCAAAAAGACATGCAAAATCCACAGTTTGAATTGGGCATGAAATTTCCTGATCTGACCATGTTTAGAAAGGCAGTTAGGAATTTTGCAATTGCACAAGGTAGAGAAATGTCTTTTACAATTAACTTGAGCTATAAGGTGCAAGCAAGATGAAAAAACAAGTCATGTCCTTGGCTCATTTATGCATCCAAAGTTCAGAATGAAGACACTGTGCAGGTTAAGACATTCAATGGTAAGCATAAGTGTCCTAGAAAGCAAAAGGTGAGTCATGCTACTCCATAATGGATAGCTGAAACTTACAAAAATAAGATTTTAGATAATCCTAAATGGCCAGTAGAGGCAATGATGGCAGAGATGCAAAGGGAAGTAGGGATTATTTTCAGTAGATGGCAAATGTATCAGGCTAAAAAATATGTGTCTCAGATTGGTGTGGGGTCTGATTGTGAGCAATATGCTATGCTTTGGTCTTATGCTAAAGAGATAAAAAAGAACAACCCTGGGACCACTGTTCAAATTAAAAGCAAACTTGTAAATGGGGAGCCACTGTTTAAAAGAATTTATATTTGTTGGGGATCTTTGAAAAGAGGTTTGCTTAAGGGTTGTAGGAAGGTTATATGCTTAGATGGTTGCCATTTGAAAACCACTTGTGGTGGTGTTCTATTGACTGCAGTTGGGGTTGATGGGAACAACTGTATGTATCCTTTTTCATATGCTGTTGTTGAAAAGGAAACAAAAAAAAACTTGGCATTGGTTTGTTGAACTGTTGAAAGCAGATTTGGGGATTGAGAATTCATTTCTTTGGACAATAATGTCAGACAAACAGAAGGGGCTTGTAGATGCCATTGAAACTATACTGCCAGATTCTGAGCACAGGTTCTGTGTCCAACACTTATATGGAAACTTTAGGGCTTCATTTAAGGGATTGGCCCTGAAAAACTTGTTGTGGAGAGCAGCTAGGTCAACTAGAGTTGTTGACTTTAATGCTGCAATGAAAGAATTGCAAGGAAGAGACAAAGATGCTTTTGAATGGTTGGCTAAAAAGCCAGCAAATCAGTGGTCAAGGTCACACTATAGTTGCCACTCAAAGTGTGATATGCAGCTGAATAACATGTCTGAGTCTTTTAACTCACTCATTCTGAGAGCAAGGAGTAAACCTATTCTTTCTATGTTGGAAACAATAAGACTTATATTGATGTAGAGGACCTACATGAGAAGGGATCAAATGAGGAAACACTTGCATGGGAACTTGTGCCCAAAAATCATGAAGCTGTTGGAGGAATTGAAAAAGAAGTCTATGGGTTTTATATGTCACTGGAATGGGGAAGACCAGTTTGAAGTGGATGGAAGCTCAGGGAGATTCAGAGTTCATATGGGGGAGAAGTCATGCACATGTAGGAAGTGGGACCTCACAGGTATCCCTTGTGAGCATGCAATAAGTGGTATGTTCTTGTCGGGTGCTCAACCAGAGGATTATGTTGTTGACTGGTACCACAAAGACACATTTTTGAAGGCTTATTCTGAGATGTTGGGCACTCTTCAACCTCCTGAATGTTGGCCAAATGTAGAAGCATTACCACTACAACCACCAACTATTGGCAGACTACCTGGAAGGCCAAAAGAAAATGCTAGAAAAAAACAGCCCCATGAAGAGGTTTTGGCAGGAAAATCCAAGAAACAAGTTCAAGTAAGGCTGAGTAGAAAAGGGAGATTAATGAGATGTTCTCTCTGTAAGAAAGACACCCACAACATCAGATGTTGTCCTTTAAAAACTGACAAGAGTGCACCAACTGAAGGACTTCCTATACCTCCCTCTAATGAAGACAATTATGTGGTAAAGGTAATTGAAATTGTTAAAAAATTATGTGTTTTATTATAAATATTGTTTTCTTCTGAATTACATTGTTTTTTATGAAGAGAAAGAAAAGGAAAACAACTCAGAGAGAGAGTGAAAGTGAAGTACCAGCCCCTATTGAGGACCTTAATGTTGTTAAGGTAATGATCTTTGTTATACATAGTAATTGGTGTGGTTAGTGTATTTTCTAATTCAAAAATTGCATATATTATATATTTTTTTTTGAAGGGGAAAAAGACCAAAACAAGTGGCAAAGTGTGTGAAGTGTCAGCCCCTATTGAGGATATTACTGTGAGGAAGGTAATTTTGTTTGTTAGTTGAACAATTGTTATTATTGGTCTATTTTATTCATTCAAGAAGTTTGTTTTCTAACTTGAGATTGCATAAATTGTTTGTGAAGGGGAAAATGAAAGAAACTGTGACAGCAAGTGATGTTTTACAAACACAGGAATCTGTTGCAATGACACATACAAGGCTTACCAGAAGTCAAGTCCTATCTGAGCATCATGAGAAAGGCAAATCCTCAAGACTCACAAGAAGCCAGTCAGTTGGGCCTAGTGGAGTTGCAAAAAAACCTTCAAGACTCATAAGGACCCAAACTCCATCTGCATCTACACCTACTAGGAGAAAAGAAAGTCAAATTTCTGTTGCAACTTCACCCACAAAAGTCAGAAAGAGCCCAACTCAGTCTGCTCCTG